CTCATAACCCAAGCAAAACAGATCTCTTATGTTTTTTTTTTTTTTTTTTTTTGTACTAGTAGTTCAAATATGGGAAAGCTATTCCTTTTAACAACAACGAAAAATCAAACTTCTTAAAAAGCATGAACAAAAAGCTTGGGCCAACTAAATATCATAAAACCTTCCACCCCCCAAAAAGGCAAAGTATTAAATAGCAAGATAAAAATAAATCCTTTTGCTGGCCAGCAAAATTTCCATGGCTGTGTGCCGTCCCATATGAGTCACAAGTTGAAGGTCAGGTACATGCTGACTAGGAAAGGATCAGACTGTGTTAGCCCTACGTGTTATCTCCGTCCTTTCTTACTTGCCTTGGTCCCAACCACATTCAACCATAGGATCGTTGCTCTTAGCATCCTTATGTACTGTTGAAGAGAAAAATCAGAGATAGCAAGTTTCTGTGGAAGAAAGCTCTATGGGATCATGGGATAGCACAGCATCACTGACCACTTCCTAGTATTTGTATAGACTTAGTATTTGTATAAACTGAAGCAAAGCTAGATTTTAAAACTTACCCAGACTTGTACACTGGATATGCCTCAGAACTAGAACTTGCCATGTATTCTCTGAAACTGTTGGAGATACTTATTCATTCATCTTTCATATTTTGACACATTTTACAAAGATACTAACAATTTTTCTTCTATTGTTTTCCAAGATCTTTATATAATAGATAGACTTGAAAGACAGAGATGACATCTTACTCCAGAGTAGAAAGTTTTTGTTTTTTGTCTGAGAAGGGCAGCCCAGGCTGTCCTTGAACTCTATTTTCTCAAGGATGACTATGAATTTCCTGATCCTCCTGCTTCCTCCTCTGTGATTCCAGGCATGGACCACCATACCTGGTTTTATGCAGCACTGGGGATCAAACCCAGGCTACATGCATGTTCAACAAGCACTCTGCCAACAGAGCTACATTTAAATGCTGTTTCTAGGACAAATGGCAGGCATGCTCACTGTCATTATAAAATTTTCAAACTCCCTAAGTCTGAGGTTCCTCTCCTGAAACCATGGAGTTCACAGGCACTATTTATCCAAGCATGGGTGAACGAGGGTTTGGTGAACAGGTAAAAATGCTGAGAATTGCTTACTGATATTAATTTTATAAATAAAAACATCATTTGCTTCAGACCCAGATGTCTCATATCATCTGACAATATCTATATTACTGTGACAGGTGTCTTGTGAGCTTTAAAACCCCAGTTTTAGACAGAAATATAAAATTTTAGTGAAAATCAGTCATAAAGAAAATGTTAGGTATTATGAGTTTTTTGCCCAAGTCTTCATCTGCTCACCATTTATTGAGCATGTATGTTTGTATGACAAACAAGTTTATCTTTAAAGCAAATTATATACATACATATATGCATGCACATGTAATCCAGTTTATCTTTAAAATTAAATTAAGAAAATTGCCTTACTATACTTATCTATACATTTGAAAAATAACAAAATGAAGAAAAACCATAAATCCCATGAAATTGACTAAGTCATAGCTAACACGTGGCAAGGCTAAAAATTTCTGGTTTCAAAATTGATGTACAATCAAATGGTACAGCTACTCTGATTTTAAATAAAATGTCTAGATTATATAGCATTAGGTTTAGTTGTGTTTGTTGTTTTTCCTCCAAAAATAATAGCTGTGTACTGAGCACTTAATATCTGGCAAGCACTGTGCTAAATACTTCATATGCATTATCTCATTTCATGATCTTTTTATTAATCAAATTTGTTTTCAGATAGTTTCATACATATATGCAATAAATGCCAACCACTCTCAAGTCCCCACTGCTTTACCATCCCTGTGGAACCTCCTTCTTCCCACAGAGCTCTCTCTCACCTACATGCTTATTCATTTTGCTTTATGACTGAGATTAACTGGGGATGTATATGTGCCATAGGTTTGGAGCTGTCCTTCAGAGCCTGGTGGGTTCAGCTATCAGTAACTATTTTGTCTTTAAATTTAAAAAAAAGTTTATTATTTTTATTTTATGTGTATGAATGTATTACATGCATGTGTGTAAGTGTACCCGTGTTGTGCAATGCCCACAGAGGCCAGAAGAAGACATCGGATCTCCTGGAACTGGAGTTACAGACTGTTGTTAGCCACCATATGGCTGCTGGGAACTGAACCCAGGTTCTCTGCAAGAGCTGCCAGTGCTCTTAACCATTGAACCATCTCTTCAGTCCCCTTGTCTGCATTGTTATCTTTGTGATTTTTTTTTTTTTGAGGCAATGTCTTACTGTGTAACCAGGTTGGCCTCAAACTCACAATTTGCCTCAACCTCCTGAATATAAGGCTTATAGCTACACACCACCACCTTTTGAATAATACCATGCCAAGGTACCAGCATGTTGTTACCTAATCTGTACTCCATATTAAATATTCAGCATTAACAGTAAACCAAATCCTTTTTAGTTTTGTGAATGAGCTTGTATTACATGTTGTATAGTCATAGGAACAAAGTACTACAAAAGCTACTGTTCATAACATTTAGATCAGAAAATAAAGCTATAGACATTTTTTAGAGCTAGATACCTAAGAAAATTATCTTCAGCTCAAGAAAGATAACATGGTAGAAAAAAATAATTCCATTTAAAAGGATGTGTGCTCCACAAAACTATCTTGTTAGTCACAGAGATGAAGAGAAAATTAACACACTAAGAGAGAGCGTGAAAGGGTTACATATATCTAGAACTTCACATGTTCTTCAGAATGAAAACATTTATAAAAAAATTTTTTATGTGTATTCGTGTATTGCCTGTATGTAGATAAGTGCACCCATGTCGTGCAATGCCAGCGGAGGTCAGAAGAGGTTGTCAGATCCCCTGGGACTGGAGTTACAGATAGTTGTTAGCTGCCATGTGGGTGCTGGGATCCAGCCCAGGTCTCAGAATGAAACCTTTTTAAGGCTAAGGAAGACAGAAAATACGTCCTAATTTTATGGAAGCAAGGAAAAAATAGCTTATACCAGACTTGCTTGCTTAGTTTTATTAATTTAAATCTATTTCAGACTATAAATAGGCTTTCACTCCTATGGCACCATTCTGCTTTCTAGAACACTGAAAGAATTCATGTTCTTAATCATTCTTACATGTAAATTACAACAGAGAAAAACACTTTAAAAACTGGAAGCTCTGTTAAAAAGCAAACAGTTTTTTCCAGATTGTCTTAACTAGAGAACTCTGGACTTTCATTAATATTATAGTAGTGGAAATAATTATTTTATGTTGCTCCCAAAGCGCTCTCTCCTCTCTCTCTCTCTCTCTCTCTCTCTCTCTCTCTCTCTCTCTCTCTCTCTCTCTCTCTCATTTGTATGTGTTTATATCTGTTGTGGGTACATGTGCACCTGTGTGTGAAAGACAGAGTTCAACAATGAGTTTCTTCTATCAAATTTTACCTATTTTTTGAGACAGGCTTTCTCACTGAACCTAAGGCCTTCTGATTTGGCTAGATGTGGGTGCTGGGAACCAAACTCCTGTCTTCATGTTTGTGTGGAGCAAGCAGTTTACTGACTGAGACATCTCTACAACCCCATATTTTCTTTCTATAAAATAAAAACCTAGCTGGAGATAGAGCGTTTTCTTTCTTTACATGCACAAGGCTCTGGGTTCAATTCCCAGCACTGCAGGTGGGATGGAGTTTAAAGGGGAATGGGGTCATCAAACCAGGTGTGGTAGCATAAGCCTGTAATCCTAGCACTTAGGAGGTAGAGGCAGGAGGATCAGAAATTCAGAGACAGTTTCAGCTAATGAGTTTGAGGCCTGCCTAGGCTACACAGAACTTTCTCAACCCCCAAATAAAAACTACCCAGGTTACAATTTAAAAAATAAAAGAAACAAAGGCTATGAAGTCAGCTACAATTATAATATGAAACAATTATAGAACAAAATTCAGTCACTGCTTACTTTAGAATGTATCTTAAATTTGAAGTAGAATTACTAATGCATTTGAAGTCCTAGTAAATGGGAGAGGAGACTGCTGTCAGCAAATAGGACATGCCAACAGGTTTGGTTTGGAGGCAGAACCCCATGGAAAAGCTGGTGGCTTATGTATACGATGTTTTCTTATTCTACTAAGACATAAATTAATGAATGCAGAATTGAAGCCATGCAAATCTAAAATTTTAATTGTGTAGTAAAACGCTTTCTAGGGGCATAAACTGCTAAACGTTAATGGGCTTTAACAAGAAGTTCCAGGCAGTCTTGCCAAGGGGTTTTAAAGTGGACTATAATTTCATCTGTGAAGACTCATTTCATCTCTAGGGGATTATATACCTTCTGATGTTTTTTTCTACTGCTGGAAACTGGTAATTTTTGTCCAAAATTCCAGAGACATTCAAAACACAGAATTTATTCATTGAGTATCCTACTTTAAACATACAGACACTCAGAGTATTTCAGAGAGGAGAAACAAAATTTTCTGATCAGAATGAAACACTCATAAATAGATCATTTTTTAAACCTAAATTTATATATAACTAAGGAATACAATACCAATTACTTTTTAACATAAGGTAGTATTTATTTATTTATTTATTTATTTGTTTGTTTGTTTGTTTATTGGTCTTTTTGAGACAGGGTCTCCCTGTAGGCCCAGCTGGCCTGAAACTCACTATGTAGACCAGGCTGGCCTTGATCTCACAGAGATCTGCCTGCCTCTGCCTCCTGAATGCTGGGATTGAAGGCATGCACCACCACACCCAGCCTATGGCAGCATTATTTTTAAAAGAATCAGAAAAGACAAATAGAAATACACATCTTGCGAGTCAAAAGTCAAAAAAGAAAAGAAAATAAAAAAAAACTTTCCTTTGGCAAAATCTGTGGATTGGAGAAGATTATGACAGAAGAATTGATAGATGGAGGATCTAGAGATGCAGTTTGAGGGCCTTGTTTGTTTGTGATTTCTAGGGAAGCCTACATATATCAAATGCTGATGCATAAAGAAATGGACTAAAGATTACCTGGAAATCTTCTAATTATTTGACATAAGGCTTCTTTTCTGCAAAGCTGAGGCTGTATTTCTGGTAACACGTTTATCTAAAAGGAATGAAAAAGATCCTAGTGATTTGAGCTTTCATAAATGATGAAGCCAAAGAAACCAAAAAGAGCATACAAATGTCAATCACCATCCATGCCACCCACACCCAATCTTCAACGGTCCACAAGTGAGCATTCAAATTCAGATCAATGACAATTTGATAACATAAAATAAAAACCTGGCCTCAGAGATCTTCAAAATATTTGGAAATAACTTTGGAAATCTTTTTATATTTCAAAGCAATCATATTTGCTAGATATAAAAAGAAATACTTAAGGCAAATATAGCAACTTAACTTCATAATTGCACTTTGTAAAAATAGCACTACAACACCACAAAGTCAGCTAAGGGGCAAGGTTCCAAAGGCCCACAGTGACTTGCATCATTCAGAGGTAAGTCAGTGGTAAACCTGCCTCATCATTTCATACAAGTCTTTACTTTACAATGAAGAACATTATTGTTTCCAAATATAAAATCCATTCACCACAAAACTCTATTTTAACCAAAATTATTCTTAGAAGGGTTTATAAGCGTTGCCATAAATTTAACCTTCAGATTTCCTCCAAGTTTAAAGAACAGAAACGACATGAACAAGCTTAATTTTCTCCTCTTGTGAATTTACAGTTTGATTAACTAGGTACACCAACTACATTCCCAAACTAAAACCAAATATGGTAAAAACTTGCCAAAACCAAAAAATGAGCACGGTATAGATTAGTATGAAAACCAGATTTATCCTTGAGACATTATTGATTATTTTCAAATTAATTCACTTTCTCTTAATAATGAATTATAGTTTCTTCATTGTGTCCTTCTGGCATGATGAGATAACAACTCGACTGTATTGAAAAAGAACAAAGGCAAAGGGAATGGTACAATCCCAGTCCTGGCCTTGAGAACTCTCTCTCTCTCTGTCTCTCTCTCTGTGTCTCTGTGTCTCTCTCTCTCTCTCTCTCTCTCTCTCTCTCTCTCTCTCTCTCTCTCTCTCCCTCTCGTTTTCAATTTTTTTTATCAATTTCTTCATTTATACAATAATGCAGGCAGAACCTCTGATCTCTGAACTCCATTTCTGCTGTAAGATTTGATCAATTCTGAAGTAAAATGCAGGGGTTTTTTTTCCCTAAAGATTCATTTAACGTGTTTTGACTCTGCGATTAAATCTTCTCCGACTTTTGGAATCGTATTAACCTTATTCATTTATTCAGCAAACTTCTTTTTTGCCCATGTATAGCTAGAAGAAGAACCAACTTCAGCCTAGGTTCTGTTAGCAGAATCCAGGCAGTGCTTTTGCCCCGGCAGCATTCCTAAGTACTGCATTTTGTGGGAAGGATACCAAAGTCTCCTCACTTATGTTCTTCCACACTGGGAAGTGAGGTGAGCAGTCAGTTCACTTTCAGTTTCAGGGTTCCTCAGATATAAAAATGAATAGCTCAACTGGCAGTTTGGGTAACCCCTTCAGAGGATGGTGTGATAAGAATAGGAGGTGGGAATTGGCTAGGCAGTTAGGGTAAAAAGACCCCAAAGAAAAGTAGCCAGTTTCTTGGCTAGAACTCAAAATGTCCTTGGAGCTCTTAGCAACATACCCTGTTCCAAAGGCCAAAAATATCAAAAGTATTTGGGAACTTTTATCTAATCCCTAAAAAATTTTAGTGTTACCCTTTCAGAGGGGGAAATGTTAGAGTAGCAAAAGGCCCCATTAAAAAAAAAGAAAGAAAGAAAAAGTACATGAAGTTGTCGGTAAAAGGTGATGGGGAGATATGGGAGGAGTTGGAGGGGAGGGTGTAGATGTGGATTTGATCAAAACACCTTATATACATGTATAAAATTCTCAATAATTTTTTTTAAGTTAAAAAAAATGAGTAGTTCAGGGACTAAATGTGAGAACAGAAGGACTTTCCTAAAGCCCTGACTCACCACTTCAGAATTTTTAAGACAGGCTGGAGGGACAGACAGAGCCTGCAAAAGCATGGAGAAGCTCTAATAGGACTGACTTTGTTTTAAGTTATTACACAAAGTATATTTCTAAGATAGTGCAAAGTTTCAGAAGGCAATATCATAGAGCCATTTCCTCTTACATAAGGCAATGTCACTCAGTTGCTAATGATAGTAGAATTTTTACTTAGAGAAGCATCCAGAAACTGAGAGAGCATTAGGTAAGCGGCTTTAAAGTCCCTGGACTAGCTCAGGTCCATTGCTAACCTTCTCACAAAGGGGTCAGAGCACACACGCTGCTGTTGTGGATGCTCAGTGATCTGAGTCTCTACCATCCCCTCCTGCACAATGGAAAGGCAACAGAAGACTCCTGGTACAAAACGTACCTAGAACTGAACAAATGGGCCGCAAGAATTGATGTAACTATTGTAAAGGCAGAGTAGAGCTAGCACAGATTTTAGGCAGGGTGGTAGAGTTCTGGGTCATCTCAGAGAGGTGACTTTCCCAGGAGGTATTGGATCAAAAAGATGAAATGACTGGGATTAACAAAGATGATGCCTCAAAAAGCAAAACCAAGCCAAGGAAAGCAACTGTTTACTCTTACGGCCTCTATTTTCCTGTCCCCGGCCTAGTGACTTCTATGCTCTTTCTTCCAAGGTGTGACTTCAGAATTCATGGTTGCAGATGACGTAATTGTAGTTACCTGTGACATGAGAAATGTTATCTCCATTCAGCTCTGGGAATTGAGCACCACACTGAGAAGTTAAACCAGCCAACTCAGCACAAAGAGGTGAAAGATTTAAGTATCATGCCTCATACAGGTGTTGCAATTTATGTTATATATTTGACTGGTAAAGCTAATAACACTCTCTTACTTTCTACAAAATGTCATTTGAATATATATTGCAAATATGTATGACTTGTGTAATTATCATTTATCTGAAATAGCTGATTTTGTGTGATGAGTTTTCCAGTTTAACTGTACAATAATTATTTTTAATAAGATTTACTTTTCATTTTATTTTTATGTGTGTGTATGTTCACATGTGTGCAGGTGCACATGTGTGTAGGTATGCACATGTGCAAGCATGTGGGAGGGTATGCACATGCACAAGGGGGCACATATGTGTGGGGTGGGGTAGAAGCACTACTCTGAGTGTCATCTTGAGGGATACCATTATCTTCCTTTGATACAAAGTCTCTAATTGGCCTGAAGCTCCCCAATCAGGCTAAACTGCTGGTCAGTGAGCTCCAGGGACCCTCCTATCTCTACCTCCCCAGGGATGGAATTACAAGGGCATGCCACTGTGCTTGGCATTTGTATGTGGGCTCTGGGGGGGGCAAATTTGGGTTCTTCTCTTTGCAAGCCAAGTCCTTTACTGATTGAGTTATCCCCAACATTTTAATAATCTTTATTTTTTTTTTTAGAGCAGTTTTGGGTTCACAGCAAAATTGAGCCAAAGATTACAGATTTCTCATGTACTTAAATGATCCAAAACATACATAACCTCCACCAATACCAACATTACTTGGTGGAATATTATATTCGCTACAATCGATGAATCTACATAGAGGTAGAGAGCAAGAGGGGGGGGGGGAGAGAGAGAGAGAGAGAGAGAGAGAGAGAGAGAGAGACTGCCATTTTTCTTTACTTGGTATGAAACCCTTTTCAAAGGATTAGAAAGCATGTAGAAAATGGTAATAAAATTCATTCTGGGATATTTCTAAGAGATCAAATTGGGAAAATAGAAATATGCATTTAGGGGCTGGAGAGATGGCTCAGAGGTTAAGAACATTGACTGCTCTTGCAGAGAGCCTGGATTCTATTCCCAGTACCCACATGGTGGCTAACAACCATCTGTAAATCCAGTTACAGGGGATCTGACACCCTCTTCTGGTCTCTGTGGGCATTGCATGACATAGGTGCACCTACCTATAGGCAAGTAATACACTCATACACATTAAGTAAAAATAATAAATATTTTTAAAAGAAATGTGCATTAAAAAAAAAGATTTCAATCCCCACATACTCTTTATAAGGTTGATCTGTGATATGTCTATGTAAATTCTTTTTATTACAAACACTCAGAAGCAAAAGCAAAAGTCAGGGCTGGGGATATGGCTCAAAGGATAAAGCACTTGCCATGCAAGCCTGAAGACCAGAGTTCAGATCCCAACATCCATATAAGAAAGCAAGCAGGTGCGGCAGCCAGCCTGCAATCCCAGTGCTAGGGTGGCAGAGTCAGGGATCTGGGGCAAGCTGGTTAACTAGATGAGCCAGAACTGGTGAATGGTGAATTCAGCAAGAGATCCAGCCACAGTAAATAAAATGGAGAGCAGTTGAGGAAGACTCCCAATGTGAACTACAGGCCTCCACAGGCATGTGCACAGGTGAGCACACACACTGGTACCACATGTGTGCACCCACACACAGGAACATACACATTCACAATCACAAAAGAGTAAAAGTCATTCTTCTTTTGAGGTATTTTTCATTCAAAAATGTAAAACCATACGAATGATAAGTATTTGGAAAGTGTTTACAAATTGAAAAAATGAAATTTTGGGAATATCATTAACTCAGTAAAGACAGTGGACATCTAAATTGATATAAAGAATAAGAAGGTACATGGAGGGAATTTTTTTGTGGCACTCCAACATATAGAATAACATGGACACCACACTGTAGCTTACAAAATGTTCTTTCCTCTATTTTATTTGTAGAGGTGATCATGTCTTTTTCTTAGACTTTCTCCTAAAGCTGTTTATGGTCATCAACAAGGAAAATAATTAACAACAGGAAATTAGGAGAACCAGCTAATCAAAGAAAGAAAAGTTGTTCTCCAAACACAATCATCATTCCATTCAATTCACTTCCATAGTTAGTTTTTGTCAACATAACGCAAACCTAGACACACCTGGGAAGAGCAAATCTCAGTTGAGGAATTTTTTTCATCAGACTGGCCTGTGGGCATGTCTGTGGTGAAATTTCTTGATTTCTAAATGGTGGAGGAGGGCCTGGCCCACTGTGAGCAGTAGCTGGCCCACTGTGAATGGTAGCATCCCT